TCTCCAGCATTTTAAGCGGAAATCATTTTCAAAATTAAAACAAGCTTGGGGAGGACATTCTACGGTATGTCCTTTAGGGGAGGAGACTGTACGGTTAATCTAAATTGTACAAGATTGCTCCTACCAGGGCGAAGCCCTGAATGTTCCGACTGCCTTTTAAGTTCGATGGAGCAGTAATAGCATGAAAAAATTATGTAAGAAAAAAAAAACGATTTTTTTTTATTTGAGATTTTTTGTGAAAATCATCCACCCACACGCCGTATAAAGTTCAAAATGATAGATTTTTCTCTTAGTATTGAAACGATTTGGAACGATTTTTAAGGTGGATTCAATGTCCACTTACACGTTAATAGCGCGAAATATATCCCAAATTGGCCAAAATGGCAATATTTAAGCCCCGATAACTTCACAAAAAAATCACAGGTTAAATACCTTTTTTATTTTAAGCTCAACACAACGATAATTTTTGAATATTACTTTTTTTTTAAAAACGTCACAAATTGCTTGCTCAAAAAAAAGAAATTTGTCTGAAAAAAAACCACCCGAGCGCAAATATTTCGTTGTTTTTGTTCGGAAAGTCGGAAAAAGCAGAAAATTTTTGTTTTGCAGAAAGTACAGAACCTTACCGGAAACAACCCCAATCCGCACTAATCTTAGTTGACTTCAATTTGTAAAAAAAGTTACTTTTTCTGGAAAAATTTAATGGTCCATTTTGATAACGGCTGCCAATCTCGAGACTATGGAAAAACGAAAAAACGAAAACAGAAGTAGCTCCTTTGCTCAACAGTTTTTGTCACTTCATTTCAAGTTATAGACTTTTGAAAGAAAATTCAATTTTTGATTATTTTTTTTTAAAAAGTTGTCATTGTGAATTGTTTTCTTTTATTGATAAAAACAACTCGTCATTCAAATTTATTTCTACTTCTAATGAAAACAAAAAGTTACTATTCTCGGTACCTGCTAACTTTGATGATTTTCCACTTTGAAGCATTTCATTTCAAATTACATGCACGTGAAGCTGTAAGAATGTGAAACAAAAAAAATGTTTGGAAAACTTACCAAAATGGATTAAAATATACTTCTTATAAAAGACGCTGCGACAATAAGCTTTCGGCAGATAGAAGCAATAAAATCAATTTAGCAAACTCTCTCCCTGCAAAAAGCAATTGAGCATTCCCCTGAAGCAAAAACAACCAAACAAAACAAAAAGTGCAATCAAACACAAGCACGTGGTTTTTGAAAATAGCAAGAAAACAATTGGCAGACTGAATTTTTTTCTTTGAGTGCAGTGTCAAAAATTTTAGAATTCGGAATATCTGAAGACAGGTCAAACGTTGCGCTTTTTACTGAAGTGACTGCTGAAAAACTGAAAACCAGGATGTGCTTTGTGAGATCATATTTAGTTTAACCAACGGAAAGAGCAAAAAATAACAATTGGTTTTAAAAAGGTTATACCTGTTTTGAACGACAGCCCACCTAATTTTGTCTCATATATTTTTTTCACCAGATTCTGCATTTTTCTTTTACTGATCAAAAACTTTGTATTTCATTGGTTGAGTTTGAGGCAACTAACAAAAAAGCAACCTTGAGTACTTAGTTTGATCAATATGGCAGAAGAGCGCTCGCACTAAATTCCCCAGGAAAAAACCCCATCGGATAAAATCCCCCCCAGGATTAAACCCCCTCATAGGACCAAATCCCCCAAGAACAAAATCCCCTTGTTGTTAAGTTAAAATCGTCCACATTCGAAATGAACAAAAAAGCGACACTCAAAGTTGAATTAAATGATGAAAGATATTTTTCAGAAAAAAAAAAATATTTTTTTAAACGAGAGTATTTGAAACTGCACTCCTCAATTGTCCTCTCGCAATGTCATAGACTAAAATGATTATTTGATTAGATTGTCGGTCTTTTTAGCATTTTGCTTAGAGAGAAACAAAAATGAGACCCGCCGTATCTACAGCGAATCCTCAGTTTTAAAGAGTTTGAAAGAGCATACATTGTTGAAATACAATCGCACTCATAGTATTTCATCAGCCTAAATCTCTTGAAGTTAATATAATTAGCAAGATATGTAATGTTGACTGCCATTTTAATTTTGTCTCGCAGTTTTTTTTGGAAAAGGAAGCAAATTTTGGGTTGTTCCTGGTATATACCTCCAACCACAAGCGAGATTGAGCACCCAGTGAATGAAAAGCAAGCAGAAAAGTTGCTAAATGAATATAAATGAAATGATGTGATTACAACAATGAATTTAGTTTTTAGTCCCCCCTTCGGTACTTTTCAAGAAATCCATTTTCGGCCCACCGACCTGAAAAATTTTCTAAGGGCGCCTTTGGCGCCAATATATACTAACTTTGAGGGAGAGCGCGAGCCAAAAAAAACGCGATTTTTTTTGTCAAAATTTTCTAAAAAGTGCCCAAAAACGGCTTTTTTAACCTGGCACAGAAGATTTGGGCAAAACAGCGCCTTTTTAGTGCTTTAAGGGAGCTCGAAGATCAATTTGGTCGAGCTAAAAAGTTTTAAGTTAATTCCTGCTCTCTGCTTTACATAGCTTCTCGCTATTGAACTCGTTTTAAAAAAGGGGGGTATAAAATGCTAAAAGTGATTCTTTTTTTCTACAAAATTTAAAATGTATTCCAAATTTTTTGACAAAATGCCAAAAATATTTCACTTTTTTCTACAAAGTACAAAATGTGTTTCAATTTTTTTTTTAAAAAGATGCGAAAAATGTTTCATTTATGTAATAAGACGCTAAAAACGTTTCATTTTGTTCAAAAAAATGTGAAAACTGTTAATTTTTTGACAAGATGCAGAAAACAATCAAACATTTTAATTTGTGAGCAAATTTTAAAGTTTTTTCTAACAAGTGAGCAAAAACTGATCAAGTTTCTCAACATATGTGTATTTTGTTAGCGCTAATTTAGCTTATATCTATTGCGAGGGGGTTTCCGGCTGATCCCATCTCCAATTAAGGAAAGAGGAAGTCGTCAACTGGAGAAAGCCGTAAATAATGAAAAAAGTTCAAAACTGTTGAATTTCGAAATTTATCTAATTTAAATAAAGTAAGTTTTGAAAAAAACATACAAAGACAAAAAATGTCGAAGTAATATTGATCGAAAAAAATTTACCTAGGAGTAAAAAGACGAAAAAACTCTAGCGGAAACCCTTTAATCTGAAAAAACATTCACTAAGACTTGAGACCCCATGAGTCCCCTTCAACCTCTTTATTCGCTCTTCATTTTAATCAATTTGGGAAGACTAAGCAAATAAAATAGAGGCAAAAACTTATCCAGCAGAAAAAAATGGAAAAAAAATTGAAAATAGTTTTAAAAATAAAACATCTCAAAAGTTATCCAGACCCAAAACGAGGTCACTAAGCCGCTATAATTGATGTTGAAACTTATCAAGTCAAAGAAAAAACAAAAACAAATGAATTTTAACAAACCAAGTTGTAAAATTACTACCATCATAAAAAAATTACGAATAGTTCAGGAAGGAAAAATCTAACAAACAAAAAATTAATATACAGCCTTAAATTGTTGCTAGCATATTCATCGAGGCTCCGCCCAATAATTATGAACGAATTAAAAAGTCGAAAACTAAAAATTATTCATAAAATTTTAGACAATGGTTCAATTTTATTTTGTATATTTTTTTTGTGGAAAACCTTAGAAGAGCGATTTAGATTTTTCAAATTTTTCTGGTAGAGTTTGACCTTTTTCATTTAATAATGCCGAAAATCAACCTAAACATTTTATGGCGCAGATAAAAATATTTATTTTCAACTCTTAACGTTTACCCAAGTTACATGTATGTAGTTCATACACTACAACCATGCTATTAATTTAGCTGTTTCAAAATTCACCATTTGACTATTCTGTGCGCAAAGTTGTTTATGGGGAAAAAGTTTAGTACCCGGCTGCAACACCCTTGCTTATCGCAAGAGTAATGAACTGAAATGAACAAAAGTTTATTTTTTGAACGATTTTAACTTTAGACCTTTTATCTTCTTAAAACCTCTCAATACCGGCCTTTTCGATAAAAAAACTGAATCAATGCATAATTTTTTTTTCTTCTGATGACTTCGAAACCTTGAATCAAATTTTTAATCAGAATTTTTATCTTATTTTAAGCTCTTCATTTGAAATTCCGTTGTTGGAGAGCATAGTTTGCTTTCAATTTAGCAGATGAATTTGGATTGATCGAACTGCAAAAAAAATACTTTTGAACGTGGAAACAATTATATTTTCTGAAAAAAACGACCCCAATAAGTACCTTCTTTTTGTTGATTGACACTTAAAGCATTTGAGAGGCTTTTCTTTTTCAAAAAGCATTGAGATATATGTCCGCTTGGAAACTGAGTTGGAAAATCATGCCATTAAATCATGCGTTAACAAAATCAAAGCCTCTTTGCAGAAAAACCGTATAGATTTTGCCTTTCATCAACAACATTCATAATTGAAAAAAAATCGAATTGACGTTGTTTTTAAAACGTTTCCAAAAAATTCAGTAATATCCTTGAGAATTAGGCAGCTGTCTAAAATTTGAATGAAGTTTCTAATTAACTTTCGTATTTCAACGAAAAACGAAATGTCCATAAATCTCTTAGAATTTCATGAACGTTTTATGATTGACGCTTTTTTGATAAAATCAACCCAATTTGAGAAAATTAGATGAATACATAAATTAGATGAATACATAGATGAATACATAAATGAATACAGAAAATTAGATGAATACATAGAAGTCGATCACGTTTTTTGGGACCATTCTTTTTTTGATGTTAGATAGTGGAGGTTGCCTTCCTTTTCACAAAGAAAATAAACTGCACTTAGAAAAAAATCAAGTCAAACCGCAAAAAAAATCAAATTTTAGCGAGAACAAATTTTAGATTTTTTTCCTGAAAAAAAAACTAGCAAAAAAATCACCAAGACTTCACTAAGTTCATTTCTGTTAACAAGACGAATAAGTAGGCTTATAAACATTGGATTTTAGCGAAAAGAAAAACCTTGAATTTGATTCACTTTAACTAATCTATACAATAAAATTATTTAGTTCAATTCTCGCACCCAATTAATTATAAATCATCTAATAAGCAGAACAGTTTTAGAGTTTCAGGCACAGCCAGTTTTTTAAAACTTTCTTCTAATCTACATCCACTGCGAAAACATTTCCTAACACGACCGTAACTTTCTAGTTTCAGTCCACAAGGGTAATTCCTACTAAGCTCTACTTGTAGATCCGTGTTCAAAATGATGCCCAGAGCGAACGGAATGTCTGAATAATTCTGCGTCGTGTTGTATCGGCTGGATACCCTAATCAACATCTTCAGGCAACTTTCAAGCTGTTTTTCGTGTCCAGGTTTGACTACAAGGTCCAAATCAGTTTTCATTTTGAAAACCAAATCCTCGAGCGCAATCCTACCGGAACTGGATCTCAAATTGGCGTCTGCATTGTGAGTGATAAGGAGTCTGATGATTGCGTAGTTAGGGTTGCGCATCGACATATGCAGAGGCGTTTCTCCGAACGCGTCTTGAGAGTTTATTTCAATTTCCGAATCCGCCAACAATAGTTCCACCAAGTCTTGCTTCTGGGATCTGCATTAACATAAATAACTTTGAAAAATAGTGCAATGAAAAAATACTGCATTTTGTAAATTAGTACGGAAATGAGTTTCTCATTAGCCCTGGCCTTCTACTGCGAAACTACGCAGATCTAGATTGCCTTGTAAAGTAATTTGATGATCCGTGTGGCTGCTTGAAACAGAAAAATGTTTGTCCAATAAATTAGGACCTTGAATCAAAATGATAATGATTTTTTCTTGAAAAATTCCTCATCAAATTTCAGCAAGGATAAAAAGCCCGCAATTTCCCTTCTCGAATAATTTGTCAGCATCGATAATAAGTCTTAACATATCCTCGCTTAGTCTCATTGTCTGTGCCTTGAGAATAAAACTTGATTTTGATTTTTTCTTTATCTCTGCTCACTTGATGGCTAAATGTAGCGGCGTCTTCCCTTGCGCATCTCTTGCGTTTGGGTCAGCTCCATTTCCCAGTAGGAGAGAAGCCACTTGAACATTATTTCTTCTGGCCGCGTAATGCAGGGGAGCCATGTTATACGAATCCACTGAATTCACATTTGCTCCGTGGCTCACCTTTGAATTTAGAAAAAAAATTGCCTGAGTACATACAGTCGAAGAACGTTGGTAGAAAAAAATAACTATAAGGCCCCTACCCTACTCAAGCTACTTCGCAATCTCGAATGCTTACATTAATAACGAATGAGGATAAGGTTGCTTAACGGAAAATGGTTTACAATTTAAATACAATTGCGCGATAAGCAGCGGTAGTTGACTAGAAATTTTAAGTTCTGCATTTCGATCTCTCCTTTGGCATAGAGTCTGTGCAAAGGGATAGATTACTATAATTGAGTTCCAATCTGTTTTTTTTTGAATTTCCGGATGACGCAAGACAAAAAATTAATACCCTTTTGCAAGTAATTACTAATATTATTTTGCAGTAGCGCTATTTTCTTAGTTAATGACAATAAAAAAGCTATTAGCTTTGATGACTATTTATTTAATTCTCTCACATTTGTGTTCCAAATTCGAAAAAATAATTCAAAATTATACTGAAATTCAGCATAAGTGAGCACATTAATTATTACTCTGAACAAATTTATTCTTCACACCGATAATTGTAACATCACGCGTTCCACCATTTTAAAAAAAAAAACATTTCGAAACAACTCATCCTCCACTGCCCCATGCCCCCCCCCCCTTTTTATAGTTGAAAAAGTCAAATTGATAACTGACCAGGAGCCGCACAATGTGTAGATTCTCTGTTAGCACAGCCAAGTGCAGTGGATTGAGCACTCCGTGCGACTGATTCACGTCAACAGACTGCTCCTCCAGACACCACTGAAACAAGACATTGATAATGTTGCAAACTTCCCATAAATTATAAAATTACACAGACGCGAAGCAGATAAACACAACAGAGCTGCGCATCAATGGCGACACAAAATATCACGAACTGACAAAAACAATTGAAAAATAATTTTCAGGAAAACATTTATCAACAAAATTGTTTTAATTCAGGCGAGGCGAGCCGCGCTCGGCAAACACAAGCTAGAAACCTAGCCAACTGAGAGTTGGAAAAGAGTAAAGAACAATAGGAAAAAGAAGAAAAACTGATTTCTTGTTTGAAAAAGTTCAAAATTCAAACTTTCGAATTTTAAAAATATATATATTTATGTCCTTAAGCTCTTTGATATCAGGAACAATTAATGAATGGTGCTTTTTTGATAAAATAAACCCAACTTCAGAAAACAGGATCAGAAAGGTTAAACTTGAGTTTCGCTGGGATTAAACTTATTTAAATTAAATTCCATTTTCGAAATTAGAAGTTGATCACGTTTTTCGTGACTTTTACACTTTCGTTATTCGATAGTGGAGTTTGCCTTCTTTTGAACAAACGAAATGAAGTTAACCTAAAAAGAAATCTAAAGTCAAACCGAAAAAATAAATTTCAGCCAATAAACACAAGAAAAATCACAAGACCTATATAATGGTACTGACGACGTTCATTGCTCATAAAAACGCCACGAAGCATCTATAAAAGTTTCAAAAAGAGAAAATGAAAAAACTTGTAAATTTGAAAAATAAATGTTCTCTTCGGGAATTGAAGCTTAGTCTTCGGACACTCAAGTTTTCTAGTTGACTGCCCTACACAACTGTGCCACTGACGCTTAAAAAACCAGACAATCGAAAAAGAGGCAAAATGGATCTTAAAATGCACAAAACACAAACTTTGCATTCAAAAAAATGCCAGAAAGATTGATTTGGAAAATTGTCGAAAAGATAAAATGAAAAATAGCTTTCTCAGGTTCAATCAATGAAAACTGCATCAAATGTGTTAAATTTTTAGTAATCAAATTTCAAAACACATGCTATTACATAGCCATCAAAGATAACAAATTTTAATAGATATTTTTACTGATCTTTGTACTTCTGAATTGGGTATTTAATTTGACTACATGTGGGCTTTTTCGAGGTTACTTGTTGCAAGCCACTACAGAAGCTGGACAGTCAATGAATGTGGTTTTATCCTCGGCGCAAAAATAAAAGATAATGGAAGTGAAAAGGGTGCTAGTCCCGACGTTAAAATCCGGATGATTCTTTTAAAAAACCCGATGAGTATATTAGCGTCAGAAAAAGGCTTCATTGTTACAGAAACCTGATTACACCGGCTGATGCATAGGATAACAATGAGCAGTTACGTCGGATTAAAAATTAATTCAGCCTGCAGATATATGCTGCAAAAACCTTGAAAAGTTTGAATATCAAAATCAATTTAGTCCGGTTTGCAATGTTGGGCTTAGTAACTTTTGAAGTCTTTAACTGTTGTTTTTGTGCTGTATTTGGAAAAAAAACGAGTTAAATGACTTCCCACAACAATTTTCCAGGCAATTAATTTTAACTCCTTATGCTATTTTACGGGATTTTTCGACAACAAGAATATCTGTCCAGCGAGGTTTGCTTACTGGCCAAATAACACTTCTAAAACAAGATTTTTAAAATTTTGATCCACCTTGATCTTTTTGGAAAAGTTTCACCAACACTTAAAATTCAGCCCTGTAACTCACAAAATTGCAGAGAATACGACTTAAACGTGAAGATATTCGTTCAATTGGTTTAAAACAAATACACTAAACCAGAATTAAACGCGAACTCGTTTTTACTCCTGAATTGTCTAATTTCAAGTGCAATTTTGCATAACATTTACTCCGAATTTTATCGTAAATACTACTATCTCCAAAAGTTTTGATTTTTGATTTCAAGCTCTTACCAGTTTATTCAGGGACTGAAAATGACAACTTAACCATTTGTAATAAATTTCCTATGGGACTGACCAATTTTTGCATAATGTGAGTAGATAAAATTGATCCTGCGATGTGAAGCATTTAAAATGAGAAAATTGCATGATGAATGTGACAACTTTCGTCAACTCCGTTGATCCATACAATTTCACACCGTTGGAAAATACAATTACAAATAAGGAACACTGGCATTTTAGACGCAGAATAAACTAGTAAAAGCTTCAAATCAAAAATTAAGATTTTAAGAGCAGAAATTCACATGATATGCAGTCGTATGTAAAATTATCCTTAAATTAGAATAAAGGCATTTAACAGAACTAGAACTTGATTTTTCGTTTTATTTTGTCCACTATAGTAACAAACTTAAATGATACCCGATCAAAGCTTTTACCTTGACTTTGTCTGCATTTTGCTCGACGATGAAGCGCATAAATCGATCTCTGCGTCTGAACTCGTTCTGGGTCTTTTCAAATGCACGGAACATGATGGTCTCGATTGCTCATCACAGCGCTCAAACACTACCTTCGCGTGATCAACTGGATAGTTGAGACAGAAAAGCCTAATTGCATGCAAACCTGAAATTCATTCGAGTTATATTTCAAAAGAAATGACACTTTTCAATTCGTTCATTGACACTTTATGAGGCAACGCGAGGAGCCCGCCTGAAGAGTAGAGAGAACAAAGTTTTTAATGGGAAGAAAGTCTGGTATCCAGTTGCAATTCTCTTGCTTATCGCAAGGGTAATAAGTTCCCCATATAAAGCAAGTTTTTGAAACAGAAACGACGTTATAATTTTAATTTGCAAACATTTGAGAACGCAATTTGATGCTTTTGGTTTCCTCAAATCTAAGTCTAAAACAATCCAGCGCTCAATTTAATTGAAACGAAGTTTACAAATTAGTGTCAAAATATGGATCATCGCAGTTGCAATTCTAGTAGTTTCATCACAGTTTGACCTCTAACCGCGGATTCGTGTACAACACAGTCGCATGTTTATTTTCTGCTTAACTTCTTTTCGAGCTCCGTTCTGTTTCTTAATTAATATTCTGCTTTCGCTACCCTTTTCTTTATCGCCCGAAGCTGAAGTCTTGTTTGTTAACTCATTTCTCCTGACTTTGCAATTGTTTTAACTCCTAGCCCCGTCTAGATCTCTTTTTGCCTTTTTTGTCAACCTTCGGCTGAAATAATTTCTGTTAAGAGCACACTTTGAATTTACCGTCCTGACGTTTAGTAACACCTACCAAACTTTAAAATTGCAATGAAATTGCAGTTTGACAAATTTTTGAGCCATAAACAAGAATTCATGCATCTGGTCAAAAAGTTTGTTATATTTTTAAACTTTCAAATGATAGCAGTTTTCTAAGGTGATAAAAATTTAGCAGGAAATCATGTCCAAGTTGACTCATTCAAGTAGTCAATAATTTAGTCAGAAGCCAATTAACTTACTTTGGTGGCCACTTGAAAAGAAGCTGACTGGCTTCTGTTTATTCCGATGTCCACCTGTTTGGAAAAGGTCTCGTTGTCTTCTAGTCTTTCGCTCAAAGCACTGCTTTCGCTAAAAACAACCTCATGTCAAAAACAACCTCACAAAATCAGTCGCTAAAAACTACCTCACAAAATCAGTTTCGAAAAAAATAGATGTTCTTGAAGCTCTTTGAATTTCAAGAGGAGTTTATGACAATTTTTTGATAAAGTTAAACCAATTTATCTTCGGTTAAAAAACTGGATCAAAAGGTAAAATTTTTCTTTCGATGGGGAAACTCACAATAAAATTCCATTTTAGAAAGTAGAAGTCGATCATGTTTTTCGTGACCTTTACACTTTTGCTGTTCAATAGTGGAGTTTGCCTGCTTTTTAACAAAGGAAATGAACTGAACTTAAACAAAAATCAAGTCAAACCGCGAAAAAGTAAATTTGAGCGTGAACAAATTTCAAGACTTTCTACAAAAAAAAATCATCGCGACCTATATAAGAGTCTGAACTACGTTCATGGACTTTTAATGAGATGCTAAAATCGAAAAATAACGTGTCTCAAACTAAAAGTGAAATACTTAAACAAATTCTGTTGAAAAAATCGTAGGCTGAAAAAAATTATTGAAACTGTTTTAAAAATCAATGTCCTAAAACATGAGACAGATTCAGGCTACATAAACTCCTTTCTTTCCTTTCTCATGACAAAAAAAAATTGGTAAAAAAATCGAGAGCTTAAAGTTCCTAAATGTACTCAAAAACTTTCAAAATCTTGGAACCAAACAATTGGCTAAAAAATGAAGAGGAACCTTTGCTATAAATTGAGATCGAAATGAAAAAAAAATGAAGAAAAAAAATGACAGCTGAAGTTTCAAGCAATTTTCACAAATAAATTGCAAAATGTCTGAAAAACTCAAAAATGCACGTGAGGAAATAAAAAAACAAATTCGATTTTTTCTTAAAATTCACCGGGAAAAAAACACACTACTGAATCTCGTGCGACACTCGCCGCATATCTTCGTAGACAAAACAGTCAACAAAACAATCAGTTTTTTTTCGAAAAAGTTGACATATCAAAACAATACGCTATGTCATCAAACTGTCTTGACTTCAAATAAAACTGCTCAATCCTTAAACACACCAACTAATTCCACGAACTTTCATTCAAGAAAAATCAGAAACCTTGCACCTAAAAAAACTGAAATATGAATGCGAATTTTTTTTTTCGTTCAACACTTGCTATCTCATGGGCAATAAAATCAACCTAATTTGAGAAAACTGGACCAATTGCCTTTTTCCACTTGAAGTGAACTTAAAAGAAAATCTTAAAATTGCACGTAAATTATCACATAAAAATGAAAGTCAGAGGGACGAGAGCAAAAATTTTAAAAAATCGTCAAACTGTTCAAAAAGTCTATCTTACGCGTTGAAGTTTTTCAGTGACAGCTTCGACCGAACAGGCACAACGAAATCTCTCTCAGCCACACTTGACCCTACTACCATTTCCACTTTAGAATTCCTTTGCTGCTCATCTCTAGAATCGGGAGGACTTTCTCCGCCCATTGGCTCCAATCTAGATACTGGCGGTGCCTTTGACTTCGATTGCTGTTTGCTATCTGAGGACTTCAATTTGTTTGCCTTCGCACTAGTGCGAACCAGTTTCTTTAAGTGTTTAACTTCATTGCCTTCGTCACTGTCACTGGACGCTGCTTCTTCCTCGTTCGAAGATAGATCTGATTTGGAAGCCTACAAAGTAAGGATTTCTTGAATTGAAAAAAAAAAAACGAAAATAAACTAGGATTTTTAATGCGGGCTGTATTTCAAGGCCACATCTCAAATTGTTTAAATGGTATATTTACTAAGCTTTACTGCAATTTAACACGACGAACAGCAGCAGCGAAACTGTTTGTCAAATTCATAATCCCCTGACTGTCCTCAAGTAGTTTTTTGAACGTTTTTCTCCTCTTTTTTTAAGGAAACATCCCCATTCCTACTAGTTTGTGGCATTTATTTATCGTTGATAGACCAAATACTTTTGACATGTCTTCTGCGCTATTATGTACTAGCCACTACGAAAAGCGAGCACCAAAAAAGGCAATTTTTTCTCCTCAAAACCGTTTTAAAATAAATAACTCAAAACCAGAAGCAGTTTGGGAGGAAAGGCGGACACCCTCACCACGCAAGTCCCACCTATTGTACATTAATACTACAAGCATTTTTGGCCGACGAACAGTATTTTTCTAAAGGCGAACTTTACTTCGTCGCATTTTTTTATAATGGAAATAAGGTCTTCATTGAGTTTTGTGAGGGCTCGGGAATATTTAATCGGCTTACCCAGAGAAAGTGAAAAATTTCTGGAGTTTACAAAATTTTAAATACTACCCCCAGTCATCGAAAAATTCCCGGCAGCGCAAATATCTATAGCTTTTCTAAACTGTTTGGTTTTGGACCTGAAAATTGACTACCAAACCCACCTCTCAAAAACCTTACATTAAAACCAAAAAAATCGTCTGACAAATTGACTCTTTTACCTCAATATGCACATTTTCATCGTCTTTGTCTTCGCCCGCCTCATTTTTCTGCCTCCTATGGATTTGTTGTTCTTCTCTGCGCATGAGTTGTGTGGCCTGTTGTATGGCCGGCTGCAGTGCCACCATTCTGGCCAGAGTGCTGGGGTTCATAGTGTCCACGTCCTCCTTGTCCAGATCCATCTGCATGTCTGCATCTCCGAACAACTTGGGTGCGAATCTCTCATCTGTCAGCAGTGCCTCCGCCTCCCTCTTCGACTAAAAAAGAGACAGCGATCACTTATTTTTCTAGTTCAAAAACTATCACAGTGAGAAAAGCCATTAAAATCAGAAACGCCTCAACGAACTCGAATAAAAAGAAAACTGTAAATGCCTTTTATGACCTCTATCAAGCTTTACGTAAAATTCAGTCTCTCAAAGTAGAGTTGAGTTTCTTAGTGGGTATAAAAACTAGCAGAATTTTCGAGCGAAATACTTAAAGCGGCGTTTATTCTGGTCACCAAATCATTGAAAACAATTAAAATTAACAAACCCCCAAAACACTTGTGACCTGAAGACAAAAAAAACTCAAGTCCTATTTTTATTGCAGTTCGCTTACCTTTGCCTTGCCTCTCTGTTTCTCTATCTTCAGACGCACAGCTGTCTCTCTGTTCACGCTTGGTAGCTTCTGAAATGACAACTTCATAGTGAACCACTTTTACGTCAACCAAGCGAACACCGCCTATAAAATGGGAAAAGTTGAATTCTTTCTCATTGAAGAAAACCGTCAATATTTCAAACACTGCTATTTTAAATTAGTTCTCAGATTTCAGCTGAACGCGAAAAAAAACTTTGAATGAGTCAAAAAAATTGCCAGCAGTTTAAAGAATTTCGGATTTATTCTTTTTTTCATTAAGTTCAGGTATAAGTTGAGTACGCTAATATATATAAATAACCTAGCCAACAGACAGTTGAAAAAGTGTCAACGTTCATTCCAATCCGAAGAGGTTAATTTGCTTTATGAGCAACGAGTTCTGATTGGCTGACTAAATTTTCACGCATTCGATACTTCGTCCATCATGCACGAAAGATCGAATGCGTGAAACTTTTGTCGACCTATCAAAACTCTCTCTTCGCTTACCTCCAGCTGTACTCTGTCATGTCTCTCCCTGTCCATGTCCTCTTTGATCTTCTTCTGCTTGAACTGTTCAAACGCGAATGGCTCACTCTCCTGTTTGGCCCGACTGTAAAGTTGCACATTGACAAAGTAGCCGTGCATGTACGCTCGCAGCTTACTCGTGCCTAATCAATCATAAAACAAAATATCAAGCATTAAATCAAACCCATATAAGTCTCCTTTTACCAGAACGAACACTGCTATTCGAACAGCTGCAAAAGATTTCCCAATAAAGCCGCTGATGTGTCTACGACCGCAATTTGCAGTCAGGTAAAAACCACTTTGATTCTTCTCAAAAAAAAGTCGGTTATAGGATGGATTGAAATCGAATAAGTTCTCCCACCCGTTTTCGGTAGCTCACCTTGTAATTTAGGATCCAAAAACCGACTTACAGAAAAAGAATAACGAATCATTCCACAACAATTTATTGCGTAACGTTATTAAACCGAATCGGAATTGCTCGATACTTAGTTTAAAACTATATCTACTCGAGCTGTTTTTCATTTCTGCTTACCTATGAGGTGTGTGAGTCCGATGCTGTCCAGCTCTGATCTAGTGACGAACTTGAAGTCATCGTAGACCACATTGCTCCTCTCTTCCTCCATTTCTTCAGTCAGATTCTCCAGAAACGAACACCACTTAGGGGCAGGACCAAGGGTCTAAACGCAGATGCACAACTTGCATTTCACAAATCTTGCGAAAAACAATTGATCGAACTGCTGGTTTGATGTTTTTTACTATATCGACCAATATAAGTATCTTTACTGCGTAAATTGACACTTGATCACTCAAGCTTTACTTGTGCAAATTGAAAAAAAAACTTTCTGTACGATCAAATTTAAACGTGATTGAGCTGAACCGAAAAAAAATTCATCGATAAATTCGACGAAAGAGAGAATTTAGATCAGTTATACTTCAGTATTTAAAACATTCAAGCATAAAAAGCAACATACTGGAACAAAATATGCGTGTATTTTCTGGGTCTCCGCTGCTAGGAACACCAGTCCAGAACTAGGGTATAACTGCATGTGATTGATTTCACAGTCACTCGGCTCTATCGCCGTGACCAGATCCCCCGACTCCTGATGCCAGGCCTTCACTCCTTTCTTGTCACAGGAGAGCACCAGTCGGTTCTCGTCCGTGTCTGTGAGGAATTGGATCGAGTGGATTGGGAACTCGTAGTGGTGGTCCTTCACCAGGGTCGGTTTATTCGATCGAATATCAAACAACATCACCTGAAGCAATTCAGATTTTTTATTTTTGCCACTAAGATTAGTTCGCTGTTGCATTAGATTACAAACTGGAAACATTGTCCTTTATGATCAAGGGTCCAGTTTCGTATCTTGAAATCGTAAGCCTTCCAACTACTCATGACTTTTATTTATGCATAATTCATTTATAAGTCCGAGGGCTTTTTTGAGGTAAAAATTTGAGATCCGTTAGAAAAACTACTTTCAGATTCAAACGTCAGAACTCCACAATCATCCCGTAAAATGTTTCAGAACAAAGGCGACATTTTCTCAGAATTATTTACAGTCTGTTCAATGTTACTTTTAAAACAAACCAACCTGGCCGGTTGATGTGCCGACAGCCAATGAGAGACCTCCATTGTATCTAAGACACGTGGTTTCCGGAGATAATCTGAAACAAATGAACACAGTGAGATGAGCAATCATTAAACGGAAACAAGTCGCTGCTGCTTAACACGTGCAGCTGCCAATATATCATTTGAAACAAAAAAAATTAAACACCAACAAAAAAATGATAATCTTTCCCTACTTCAAGAACATTCTGCACTAATTTCATAATGTGCTTGCTTCATAACCTTTGCGCTTTGTTTTAACCATTACCAATTGAATTAGTACTCATTGTACTTACTTAGGTTACTAACATCATATTACACCACCTTTCGGCTTTTTCATATTCCAAAACGGACTCAAAGCGAAGTATCACATCACTTGGCATAAAAAAATAAACAGCATGGAAGCCAGATGACAGAAAATGAGAAGTCATTAAAATGCAAATTGTGAACTAAATATACCAAAAAATTCAGACATTTGTCTTAGATGAGGTTCAGTTTCAGGACAAAAAACAGTTGCCATAAAAAAAATTTGAGCATTAAAATCCACTTTCGAAAGCAGAAGTCTATCACGTTTTTCGTACACTTTTGCTGTTCGATTGAGGGATTAGCCTTCCTTTTGACAATGGAAATGAAGTGAACCTAGAAAGGAATCAAAAGTCAAAACGCGAAAAAGTAAATTTCAGCCTGAAAAAAAAACAGACTTTTCCTGAAAAAAAAAACGAAAAAAAATCATCAAGAGTCTCAACTACCTTTCCGGTGTATAAATTCTAAACGCTTAAAATTAGATAATCTGTTGAAATAAAGAGCGAAGAGCAGGTTAACAATAACGCATTTGAGAAAAAAATTGAGTGTTCACTTTGAGCTATTTGAATCTACGAAGCAGGCAGCGTTCAGGTTTCCCACACTTTTCCTTGTCCTCGGATCCCAACATTCGACTGTTCCCTCTTGAGAGCCGACGGCCAACAGCTGGTGGTAATCGTTGATAACACAGGTGTTGAAGCCGCTAAAATTTCAAGTCGAAGATCAGACAAATAGAAAACAAACGTTTGAGACAGGTTTTCTCAAAACTAATTCCTAATGAAGAAAAAATATGCAAATAAATTTTCAAGTTCCTGCTTGACTAACTTTGACTATTCTGTTAAGGAAGTCTGTAACGAGAAAAACTGTAACGGGATTTGGCTGTCGTAAGGTAACGAAAATTTTAAAATCAGGAAAGTTAAATTTGATTTTTACCTAGCTCGAGCACTGGTGTATGGAGAGAGGAATCTGCCCTGCTCCAAATTAATACGATATATATCACTGCTGTTGCCCACGACTATCAGGTCACAGTTGAGTCTGTTGTAGCAAAGGTCACGGCCGAACCTCGGCACGCGCATTCTGTAGTATTTGCCACCCTGGTTGTGAAACTCAACGAATCTGTCCTCGTGCAAAAACACCAACTGAAAAGAACAATTTATTTAAATGTAGTGCATACATGTGCGTACAAAAAATAATATTACTGTGGCAGATGCAGCCGAATCACGAAAACGCGCCAAATACGAAGAGATATCAGCAACGTACACCTTCCAACCGATTGCGATTGAAACTCTTGGAGGTCTGGGTACTGATACACTGAGCTTTATAAAAAGCAATTGAACATGCACGTAAAATCAACGCGTACCTTAAAAGCTTCAAGCGCTTTCGCAACATAAAGTTGCATCTTCAGGAATATTCATTCTTCTGAAAATGTGTTAACATAGTCCACTTCTAGATGGTTAACAGCAGACAATAAGGGCGGCAGAGATTTGGCATTGCTGTACAGCGTGGAACAGCCACGTGTGGGCGCGAAACTCTTGCTGTTGAAGTTGACGACCCGGTTGGTGCCGACTTTCGGCGATAACCAAGATTGAATCTTGACTGTTTTTTAAATAGCATTTAAAATAATTTTTTATATAAATTTGGTGCTATTCTTGAAATATTCCTCGGACTTGGTCCATATTGTTTTTTAAATGTGTCTGAATTCACATTATTCTTCCCATATTACGAATAAATGGCAAGGTATTCTGACAAAAAAAAATTACAGAAAGTCTTCACAAAATGATACAAATGCCTGATTGGCAAAAACTGTCAAAAATCTGATAAATTAGAAGCCAATGCGACAACGCCACTCCTTATAACAGTTACTTATAATAATGTGCCATCACGGAGTACCTTTGTGTAGTCTTCAGCTAGCGACAAAAAATTCACGATTTCGCTGTCAAAACACCTCTCAAACTTCATAGCTAATTGCTGTACATCAAAGCACTTCATCGTCGGCTTGTAGGTTCCTAAAACAGAACAAAGTAGAAATAATTTAATGACGCTCAATGTTTTAAAAGTTTTTGGAATGTTCTCGTTGCCACGATCCATCAAACTAGGGTTTCAAACCTGAAGCGAAGACATACTGTCCATCTGAGGACACTTTCACTGTATTAGACACCGTTGGCATGTCAAAGCCTTGCAGTAGTTGCACTCTTTGCTGCAGCTCAACATCCTGCGCGATTGCTCTGCGTCGTTTACGGTCTTCCAGCCACTAAAGGATAGATAAACGATAACACCTTTGGTTCATTTCAGTTTTCACAAGCAAGCAGTAAGAATTTATAGGCGGCCAATTCCAGAATAAATATATATAGGGTAAACAAAACAACGTTGAACCGCACTTGCAGGAACCTGGGAGTCACCTGAAAACTGATATTCTAATACTAAAAGAGCTATTTTTGCTAACCTCGGGTACCGCTTTTCCGGCGGTCAAATTGTAAACCTTCACATCATTTGCCAAGGACACTTGCATATTTTCTATACGATGACCTCAGCGCCAGAAACGAACTCAAAAAAACAATGACAAAAGAAAAGCAGACAAGAAAAGTCTGCTAGTCTCAATTAGATGGCAAACTCATCTAAAAAAAGAAGACCATGGCAAAGAAGAAAATCAACGACCGATTTTAAAATTAACATTTGAACCTACGTGATAAGTACGTCAAAGATAGATTTTTTTTGGTAATCAGAAGGTCAAAAGTATCATAGTAACCGAGGTTACAGTCAGGAGTCCCTTCATCGCGTATTCCAGTCAAAATCCTTGGAGTTTTCAAGATATGGAAGTGATAATGATAAAAGAAAATGACAAGTGTTTGAGTTCTTTTCAATTAAAGTCGATACGGGTTACAATATGTTATGATAAACTTATTGAAATTATGTGTTGTGTGACAAGTGCCTGGTTCAAAAAAACATGGTGGGCCACTGGAACTGCTGAGCTCGAATGAGATTATTGTTCCCAGCTCACGAATTTTACAGTTTGGTTAAAAAATTCGACTTTTCTTTGATTGAGAACCTTATTATGTAACATTCGTCTACTGTAGTCACACATGAGGCTTAAGAAAAATAGGCCCTATAACCATTGGCTCAAGAGTCAGGGACACTATCTCTTGTGTTTTTCTACCTCAAATCAGTCGGAGCCAATTCGGTTCGCTTGTGACATGAGACTACGACCCGTTACAGCTTAAAGGCTACTACCAAAATATCCCCCCACTCTAGAAATAAGAACGTCCCCATACTTAGGTCTCTAGATACCCAAAATACATGAACGCCGTTAAAAACCGGGTCGGAACAATCCGTTAAGTTATTTTTTATTAGACAGTGGAACTTTGATCCATTTCAGATGGATCAACCTAAAACTCGCCTTACCTCAACATAACAATCATAAAACACACTCTAGAAATTTAAATTAAGTACTCACATCGTAGCACGCTCAAGAACTGGGAGTAATTAAGTCGGTCAGCAACTCGAGAATTAAATAATGTAACTAAATGAGTTTAATGTTTATCAGTTTCAATAACAAGGACAAGTTTTAACTCTAGAATATAGTTTCTCGTGAACCATTGGGACACTCAAGCTGTCCACCTTTCCACCGAAGGTTCACTCTAGTCCAGTTCGAATAACAATCCAATCGAGTAATGATAGTCCAGTTCTCGGGAATACGCTTGTCTCTGTTTCAGATGGGACAGCTCTACTCTAGTTTTATTGTGAAGGAAATTGCGAATAGCAATTTCCCACTGTTTTATCTGGCAACTTTCCCGCGTTTGTTACTCGATTGTTCTGATTTCTCTTTTTCGGTTTTCAGTTGTCGCGAGAAAATCGTGCATGACAGGCTCCATTCGAATTTTTGAAAAATCAAATTTCACTCCAAAATTAAGCGTACTTGTTTTTCTCAAAGTCAAACTTCCAATTATGACCGACTGGCACATACTCCCCGGACTCAAGATCGATGTCCTCATCGCGTGCTATCGTCTGCCAGTGAGTCCCAAAAACCGAGTGTTGCTCAAAGTACAGTGCCAGTGGTCATTTACAGAAGTTTGCAGCAGACTTAAGCTTATCTACACCCCAAAATTCACGGCCATGTAAAATTTTCACACTATCGCTAAACAGCAATTAAAATCTGCACACACCTGCACCCTTGAATTCTCGCTTTTCAAGCCAATTATTTAAAATTTCTTTTGTCCCATTCAATCAGGAAATTGTCTTGCAGCATTTTGATTTATATAGTAAATATAGCATATTAATAACAATATCTGATTCGTTAAAATTTCTTTTTCGTGAACCCAGGTTTCACCCGGATCCACACTCAAGCCACCTTCCCTCTCAAGACTCAAGATCCATTCGAACCATCCGCTAATCTCGCACTCTTCGCCTTGGAGGTGCCGCACCCTGAAGTACTAGACACGGCAAACTGTCTCAACAGTTTTTCTTTATCATCGGAGCTAATCACGATCTCCTCCCAAGCCTTCAGCTGTTCATAGGATTGCATCCATTCCCTTTGCTCCTGCAACCTCTTTGCCTGGTTGGGTAGTGCCTTCACCCTAGATTGCCGGTTCAAACAAAAGGAATTGTGCAAGGTCAAGCTCACGTTCTTCGCCAAGTCCTCCTCCAGCATCGATTCCCTCGCTTTGGTATTGTCTCTAGACATTTTACCCACTCTCTTCCATCCTGTCGTGATCGCATTTCGATGGGTTAACAGGGGTCTCTTGAAAGCTTCCGGCCCAATCTCGGCCTGGAACTGTCGATACTCCTTTTGATGCTTTCTCATGTGATCTTTCGTTGTCATTGTCGCTCGAAACCATGGAAAGTACCTCAAGCGGCTCCATACGTGTCTGACTTCCGTTGGTATGGCGAATACTTTGCATGCAGTCTCAAACAACTCGAGTCTCCTGCTATAGTCTATCGCATATATTGACTCAGCCGTTGGCGTCTTCACTTCCCGATACTTCGTTATATTCTCTTCTATCCATCTCAGAGCCAGCAACGTACTCACTACTAAGAGCGTCACCTTCTGCCGGTGATCCGGTAATCCGATCGACCGAATTTCTTCCATATCCCACACCAGGCAGAGGTTCTTGTGATCTGGATACCACACCGTTTGTGCCAAACAGTGGCATGGGCATTCTCCATGGGTGATCTCAATGCTCCTGAGGTTACGCTCCCCCGAGGCTTCCAAGAGAGGCTCAAGCTCCATCATTTTCTCATGCATCGTGTCGTTCTCTTCCATGTTTGGAGCACCCCCACAGGTTTTCCGATCACGTTTTGTCTCTCGTGATCGCTTGTGTTCTCACCATCCAACTTCAAAAGCTCTTCTCCCCAGATTTCACTCAAGTCGTCTCTCAACTCTTTCGGTACTGTCCCTCTGATTTTCCTCAACAACTTGTGCGAGTGATGCGATATCCGAGCCAACCTCACGCACTTGGGCACTGAGAAGGCCTTGTCCACCAATACTCTCTGGCTGGATGCTTCCACCATCGCCATGTGCAGTGGGTAGTGGCTTCCGCACAAATTAGCCATCATTGACCCTATCAGGGATTTTGCGTTCAATGGCAGGCCATAAGCTTCGCTCATGGGAAACCCCATCTCCGCCTCGAGACCAACCTTCCAGCTCCGGATGTGCTTTTGGGTCACCTGCAACACCCCAGGCCATGATTCCACGCTCAACGCCGTCACTAAATGGTGTTCAGACTCTATCCTCTCCAGTGATTGCAGACTACACATTCTCGAGAAGAATCCGAGAGCTGTCGCTATATTCACCGTAGTTCTCGCGTAACACTCCGCTACTATTTGCACTTCACTTTTCTCCCTTTCCGTGATGTCTTCAAACCAAGTAACCAGATCTTCTTTTTGAAAGGACAGTATCCTGACACATGACCGTCCATCGCAGGTGTGCTCTCCATTCCCACACGTCGAATCCAGACAGCTACCCGGCTCCATCTTCTTTGCTGACCCGAGATTGTTCGTCTTTTCGCCTGACTCCTGCATCTGAGGTGAGATTAGTTTGTGCACCACACTCAACTTTGCCAAATCTTCATCTTCCGTTGGTGCTAACCTCACTCGCTCGGTGGTTTCCTCGATCAGGCTCGCGTGGGGGTGTGGGCACCAGGAGGGTCTTAGTAACTTCCATACCACTCCCAAGTTCGTGATCAACAAGCCATTGCCATCACCCACGTTCACTTCAACTCTCTTGTTCGAGCGCGGTATGCTCACCACCTCCGGTGTTTTCTCAAGAATCAGGCCCAGGCTCGGCCTCTCTTTCTCCACCGCGTCTATTTCTACTATTCTTTCTGTCCAAAACTTCAGTAGCTCCGCTACCTCGTGGTTCCTGTGAGCACCTCCAGTTTCTGAGTCTAAGAAGGGGTTGTAGGCTATCCCCATCACTCCCGACACGTATTGGTATTCCCCTTTCTCACTGAGTCTCGAGTACTGCTCTGGCGAGGCCAGGTTACGGTGAACATCATGTTCTTCTTCGAACTTTTTATTATAAAATCTCCGTACCTCGTCCAGCTTTCTGTGGTTCTCTAGGGATAGTCTGGAACCATCTTCCTTTTCTATTCCAGTACTCTGATATACGTTTAAGATGATCGTTGAGACTCTTTTCTCCACGGTTTTACTTCCGCTTGCTCTTTGGTGGCACGCCAAGATGGTGCTGTCAGACATCATTGACATTATCCATCTCAAGAAACATGTGGCATCCTTCCTCCTAGCCAGGCTCAAGCCTGAATTATCCCTGGCCATGTGTTGCATCAGTGCTTGATACACATCTAGCTTCTTGCTTCCCAAC